AAATTTATGATTTTTTCAATTGATTGAACAAAATCTTTCTTATTTTTTTCTTTTTTTTCCTTCATTTTATTTCCTTGTCTATTGTTTTATCTTTTAATTATTTATTTTATTTTAATTTATGAATTCATTTAAATTTATAAAATTAGTTTAAAAAATGATAAGAATAAAAAAATAAATAATTAAAAATTAATTCCATAATTTTTTATTTATCCTATTATTATTATTATTTTTATAATATTATTACTTTGATACAGAAACCAGAAACTTTGATGTAAGTTTCTAATTTTCTTTCTTTTTATCTCATTTGATTTGTTTATTCAAGCTTTTATTATTTAGATTCTTTATTATTTTTATTTTTATAATGTTATTGCTTTCATATAGAAATAAAAAACTTTTCACGTAAGTTTCTAAACTTTCTTTTTTTTCTTTTTACCTCATTTGATTAAGTATGTAGTTATACTTTTCTATTGTAGACAACAATCTACTTAAACCTTTGTAAGATTGAGTTTAGTTTTTTTTTTTTTTATTATTCTTTCACGATTTTATAGAGGATGGAATGCTTATTGTCATTATTGGGAAGGAAGCTCCACTGAGACCAAATGTTAAGGTCGTTGAAATGTTAGTCATTTGTTATGTATTTTATGTGTTCTTAAATTGTTTACTACAACCTACTGTCGTAAAATGCGAGTATGAAAATCCAATCGCTAAACGTAGTTAACTTAGGGAGTCGCGGCTATTTTTTTTTTTTAACTAAGTGATATTGGTCATCTATTAAATTGGTTTTGTTCGATGAAATCCTAAATTGATTTTAACTCCATCAAAAGAACGATAAACTGGTTTACGTATTTTATTTAGAGTTGGGTTCAGGAGTACTGTTACACACAAGGAAAGATTAGCACCCCTATGACGCCCATTATAGGAACGGTACCATTTAATCATATATTATCTTAACCTATTAGTTTTATTCTTATGTTTTCTTAATTATTATCTATTTAATTTATCTTTTATTATATTAAAATGTTGTAATAAAAAAGTGATGTTCTTAATTGTAATAATATTGTTGAAACAAAAAATGTTAAATTTTTTGAATATATTTTTCAATTGAGAACTGATACAATTTCTTATGCTGCTTTTAGTAAAATATTTTTGAAATTTTAAATGATGATCTGAGAAGTAGTAAAAAACCAAGGAAAGAAAATTTTTTGGTAATGATTTTTATACTTATCTTATAGATAATGATCCTTTAACTATACTGATACAATTTCTTCTAAAGAAAGTCTATTTTAGAAAGAAATTATAAAAAATAAGATTAAATCTATTTTACAAAATCAAATTTGAAAATTAGTTAATTTCCACTTGAAGCTAAGCCAATTAGTTGTAAATAGATTTTTAAAAGAATATTTAATCTTGATAGTTCTATTAATAAATACAAAGTTAGATTAGTTGTTAAAACTTTTACTCAAAAACAAAATCTTGACTATTTTGAGACTTTTGCTCCAATAACAAGAATTTCATCTATCCATGTTTTAATTGCCTTAACTTCTATTTATAAACTTGTTGTTCATTAGATGGATGTTAAAACAGTCTTTCTAAATAGTAATTTAGAAAAAAATTTACATAGTACAACCTGAGAGAAAACAAAGTTTGTAAATTGATTAAATTTTTATATGGTTTAAAACAAGCACCGAAATAATATCATGAGAAATTTGATCAACTTCTTTAAGTAATGGATTTTCTACTATTAGAATTGATAAATATCTGTACACAAAATTATTGATAGTAAATGTGTGATTGTTAGTTTATGTGTTGATGATATGCTTACTTTTTATACAAGCATTGATGTTGTCAATAAAATAAGATGTTTTCTAACTTCTAAATTTGATATGAAAGTTTAGGAAGAAACAAATGCTATTTTGGGATGTCATAATGTATGAGTCTTAAAACTCAGCCATTTGGCATAAAAGGAATCGCCATCAATTTCTTTTGTTTAAGTATGATTGATCACCTAATTGAATCTATTTTTCTGATGATAGCTTAGACTTGACTTAAGTTCATTAAAAAAATATATTTAGGCCTACAAAGCTGATTAAGTTTGGAAGCACAATTACATGTAAGGAAAGGATTAGTAGCCTCACTACACCTTTTCAAAGATACCTAATTAATTGTGTTTTCTTTTTAGCCTTAATAAATTAATTTATTTTGATATCTTAGTTTATTTCCTTTAATTATTTCTCCAATTCATTTTTATAAATAAAATGTCC